GGTAGTAAATTTTGTGTGCAGCTGCCATTAACACAACTGATGATTTATGACAAGCAGTACTTGCTTATTTATAGATCTATACATGTTAGCTATTAACCTTACTTCTTTCAATAAGGTCATCATCATTGGTATTTCTTTCTTTTTGGTTTAGGAGGCAAGAAAGAAAGGAGAGTTGCTTGACGCTTGGTTGCCATTGCAAGAAATGATTACAAAATTAACATTCAAAATATTCATGAAAAGTTAAAGGGAGGCTTGCATGCGAAATTGAAATTTGAGATTATTGCTTATTTTTAATGTACACTACCCAAATAGACTATTCCTAGTTGCATTCTTGCATTGGACTTGCTTTGGGAAAGTTAGAGCTTGCTAAAGTTGCTGGCAGCCATTGCTTCCTGTTAGGGGGCGCGGTCATTGATGACATCACAAGGGGAGCCAACATGAGCAACTGCAATGCTTTACATGCAGAAATAAAGAGAAAATAACTTGACAAAAAGAGGGATTATTCATTCACAGTTAAGTTGTGGGTGCTCTGATACTTATAAGGACAAGGTAAGCATAGAAATTTTTTTCAAAGAATGCTAAAATCAGAGAGAAATAGACTATGACAAGTCATGAGATTTAGCATGACTTAGACTCTGGTCCCTATGGCTACTCTATGCTATGTAGTGATTATCTCAATTATAAAAGCTTTCAAGTAAACTTTATTTTGCCTTTTGACTCTGAATCATTAAATTCAAATCTTATGAGACTTGGCTAAATGCTCAGGAAATATCAACAATATCTACTGAATGCAGGGGAATAATACTAATATCTAACAAGGTTTGACTGTAATGATTCAGAGTTAAAAGGCAAAAGAAAGTTTACTTAAAAGCTTTTATAATTGAGATAATCACTACATAGCATAGAATAGCCATAGGGACCAGTCTAAGTCATGCTAAATCTCTTGACTTGTCATAGTCTATTTCTCTCTGATTTTAGCATTCTTTGAAAAAATTTCTATGCTTACCTTGTAGTGTTGTTTTAGTACAAATTATAATTTTAGTTCTAGTTTTAGTTCCAGTTCCAAAAGTAAAAATCATTTTAGTTTTAGTTTAAGTTCTAGTTCTAAATTGAAAATATTTTCAGTTCTAGTTTTAGTTCTAGGTCCAAATTTAAAATATTTTCAGTTCTAGTTTTAGTTCTAGGTCCAAATTTAAAATATTTTCAGTTCTAGTTTTAGTTCTAGGTCCAAATTTAAAATATTTTCAGTTCTAGTTTTAGTTCTAGGTCCAGATTTAAAATATTTTCAGTTCTAGTTTTAGTTCTAGGTCCAGATTTAAAATATTTTCAGTTCTAGTTTTAGTTCTAGGTCCAGATTTAAAATATTTTTAGTTCTAGTTTTAGTTCTAGTTCTAAAATTAAAAATTATTTTAGTTCCATTTTAGTTCTAGTTCCAATATTTAAAAAAATGGTTGTATTTTAGTTCTTGTTCAAAAGTTTAAAATATTTTTAGTTTTAGTTCCAAATGCAAATTGATTTTAGTTGTTATACACATGTACATGTAGCTCTAAAGAGGAAATTAAGTAATCATACATTTAAGATTTACAAATTTTTTTAAAGCCAAAAAGCAACCAAATAGTGCAAATTTTAATTATTTATTAAGTACTTCTTGTTTTTACGCAAAAAAACTTCTCGTTCTAAGTTATGATCACCCAGTCGATTCCTTATGCCTTTTGATGCTTGTCCAGCAACTGAGAACATTCTTTCTACTGGTGCTGTCGAAGCCGGTGTAGCTAGAATGTCACAAGCAACTAATGCCAGGTTTGGATACACATTTTTTTGGTTCATCCAAAAGGAAAAAGGGTCTGACTGGAGATCATCTTTGTTAGGCTTGTAATTAGAGTAATTCTCAATTTCCAGCTCCTCTGCTGATTTTCTGGCACTTGCTCTTGTATCATCACTGCTTTCCTTTTCCTCCAATAATGTACTAACTCTTGAAAGATGCTTAAAGCGTTTCCTTGGAGGCTCAATAACTGTTGTATTAAGATCGATTAGGTCATTATTCTCTTCAGAATGAACATCATCACAATCCAGAATATCAGAGACTTTCTTCATTTCAGATGTAAGAAACATTTCAGCTTGCAATCGTTGAGGGGATTCTAATATCTTTCTGTATGGTACAGTAAGGAAAGTAGCAGTAACATACAGAGGATCAAAATCTGGTGATTCTGGATTTGTTATGAACTGGAACCTCCTCTTTAGATCTGAGAGCATCTTATTTGCTACCATAGAGACTCCAGCATATTGTGCTGCCATCTGTACAGTGTCACACAAAAAAACATCAATGAAATAACACACATATTTCTAGCCATACTAACCTCTTCCAGATGAATAGTAAGCTCTTTAATCAATGGGCACACCATTCCAATAGATGTGCTATGCTCAGTGCTAGCTATGTTGGTATGATGAGCAAAAGGCTGGAGTAACTCTTGAATGACTTCCAAATTCTTCCACTGAGTTGCAGTAAGACTGTCCCATACAAGCTCATCTAAAACAGCTACCAGGTGCACTTTTACATGTAACAGCCGCTCCAACATAAGATAAGTGCTATCCCATCTGGTCTTACAATCACTAATAAGTTTCTTATTTGCCTTTGAAGTGAGTTTTTCAGTTGCTTTGGTGGACTTGTTTACCTTACTAACAATACCACGGGCTTTTTTTAAAGCAGCACTGTATGATGGATTAACTTCAAATACTTTCACTACAAGTTGTAGTGTATGTATAAAGCAGCTGACACGTCTGTATTTAGGAAAGGCAGACTGATGCTCAGCTTCTAATCCTTCAAACTCTTCTATTGCCCTTCTGCTATTTGCACTGGTATCTTGTTGGTCGGTTTCCATAATAACTGCTTCGTCATCAGGGTTGTCGTCACCATCAGGTATATCGTCTTCTTCAACGATGTCAATCATGCCAGAAATATCTTCAATGTCCACATTGCCATCCTCATCTTCATTTCTAAAGGCAGCCAACATATTGCTACCGTTGTCTGTGAGAACACGGAATATTTTAGAAACCGATAACTTCCAATCTTCTATCACAGATTCAAATACTTCCAAGACTCTAGTGGCTGTGTGTGGTGAAGGGAACCTTTTTACAGCAAGAGTGATACTGTGACACTTCATGTCAGTATGATTAAAGTAGTGGCACGTTATTCCTAAGAATGAAGCTGTCATGCCTTGCTTACTCCACACGTCTGCACACAAACTGAGTTTTCTCGCATCTCGCATGCTAACAGACAGCTTATTTCTTAGCTCCAGATATATTTTTTCGATCTCCTTGCCTAGTTTCTGTCGATGTGGTACTTGATACCTTGGATCAAGCTCAGTAAGTAGCTCCCTAAATTCTTCGTTATCAACTAAACTCAATGGTACACTAGTAGCCCCAACGAACAGAGCCAATCTCTGTGTCAGTGCTTCATACTTCTTTGATTTAGGGTCATACTTCTTGTTTTCGAGACAGTCAAGTAACTTCGATTGCTTGAGCATTGATTGATTCTCTGGGATTGAATGAGATGTAGCAATCTTTTTGGCTGTTTCCTCTGATTCAAGCACTTTATAGTACTTGGGATGACAGGATTTTAAATGCTTCTTCATATTGGTGGGGTATTTTCCCTTAAATGTCTTTTGGCAAATCTTCTCTTCTTCACCTTCTACAGAGACATCAATTAAGCATGTACACTTGTTGGTATCTTCACAGAAACTGAAGTACTTCCAAACACCACATTTAGGCCTTCCAGCAATAGCTCTAGAGCTACCAGTAGCCATTTAACTTGTCTTCTTGGTCTTGTAACTAATGCTGACTATTATCTGTCTTGTGACTATATACAGCTCACAGGTGCAAATGGTATCAAATTCAATGATGCATGCATGTTTGCTCATGCACTGCATGTGCACATGTATATATA